TTGGGGCAAATGTGATCAATCAGGTGAGGTACTTGCATGACAAAAACTTCAAAAATTTGAGGAAGGAAATTTAAATGATATCGAAAGATGGAAAGATTTCCCATGCTCAGGGATCTGAAGTATTATCATAATAAAAATGGACATCCTACCAAAAGCAATCTTCAGTTTGAAGGCAATCCCTATAAATAATTCAAATACAGTTCTTCACAGATCTTGGAATGACAATTCTCAGCTTCATATGGAAACTCAAAAAGTCCATGAGAGTTAAAACAAGTCTAAACAGCAGAATAACTGGTTGAGTTGTAACCATCCAATTTTTAAATTTGTACTACAAGGCTATAATAAGAAAAGCATCACATTATTGTTACAGTGACAGGCATGTTGTCAAGTGGAATTGAATTGAAGACCCAGTTATGAGTCCAGATACATAAGAACATCTGATTTTTGATGAAGAAACCAGAAATACACTGGAAGAAGAAAGCATCTTCAACAAATTGTGGTGCTCAAACTACATGTCTGCATGGGGAAGAATGCAAGTGAATCCATACTTATCATCCTGCACTAAAGTCAAGTCCAGATGGACCTAAACCTGAAACCAGATACATTGAACCTGAAAGAATACAAGGAATAGATTTGAATGTATTGGCAGAGGGGAATACATTCTGAGCAGAACTTTGTAAACTCAGGCATTACGATCAACTTATATAAATGGGACATTATGAAACTGAAAAGCTTCTGTAAGGCAAAGGATACTATCTCTAGAACAAAAGGAAGCAAACTCACCCCAAAGGAGTAGATGCCAAGAAATAATTAAACTGAGGGCTGAAATCAACAAAGTAGAAACTAGGAAAACAATACAAAGAATCAATGTAACAAAGAGTTGGTTCTTTGAGAAAATCAACAAGATAGAAAAACCTTTATCTAACCTTACTAAATGGCAGAATATGAACATGCAAATCAACAAAATCAGAAATGAAAAGGGATGCATAACAACGGACAATGAGGAAATCCAGGGAATCATCAGGTCATATTTTGAAAAGCTGTACTCCACAAAATTTGAAAAGTTAAAGGAAATGGACAACTTTCTGGATTAATATCACCAAAATTAAATCAAGAACACATAAGCAATTTAAATAGTCCTATAACACCTAAGGAAATAGAAGAAGTCATCAAAAGTCTCCCAACCAAAAGAAGCCCAGGCCCAGATGGCTTCAGTGTAGAATTTTACCAGAAATTCAAAGAACAGGTTATACCAATTCTCCTCAAAGGATTCCATGCAATAGTAGCAGAAGGGTCTTTGCCAAACTCTTTTTACAAGGCTTCAATAGCATTGATACCCAAGTCATACAAAGACACAACTAAGAAATAGAACTTCAGACTAATATCCCTCATGAATATTGATGTAAAAATACTCAATAAAATATGGGCAAATTGGATCCAAGAACACATCAGAAAACTCATCTACCATGATCAAGTAGGCTTCATTCCAGGGATACAGGGATGGTTCAACATACAAAAATCCATCAATGTAATCCACCATATAAAGAAACTGAAAAACAAAAATCACATGATCATCTCACTAGATGCTGAAAAAGCCTTTGATAAAATCCAACACCCCTTCATGATAAAGGTCTTGGAGAGATCTGGGATAACAGGTACATACCTAAACATCATAAAAACTATAAACAGCAAACCAACAGCAAACATCAAACTGAATAGAGAGAAACTCAAGGCAATTCCACTAAGATCAGGAATAAGGCAAGGCTGTCCCATCTTCCCATATCTCTTCAATATTGTACTGGAAGTTCTAGTTAGAGTAATAAGACAACAAAAGGAGATCAAGGGGATACAAATTGGAAAGGAAGAGGTAAAACTTTCACTATTTGCAGATGATATGATAGTTTACTTAAGTGACCCAAAAAACTCTACCAGGGAACTCTTACAGCTGATAAACACCTTCAGCAATGTGGCAGGATACAAGATCAACTCAAGAAAATCAGTAGCCTTACTATATACAGACAATAAAAGGGCCGAGAAAGAAATCAGTGAAACACCACCCTTTACAATTGACACAAACAACATAAAATACCTTGGGGTAATGTTAACCAAATAAGTGAAAGACCTGTATTGCAAGAATTTTGAGTTTTCAAAGAAAGAAATTAAAGAAGACATGAGGAAATGGAAAGATCTCCCATGCTCTTGGATAGGTAGGATCAATGTAGAAAAATGGCAATCCTGCCAAAAGCAATCTACAGACTCAATGCAATCCCCATCAGTATCCCAGCACAATTCTTCACAGACCTTGAAAGCACAGTTCTCAACTTTATATGGAAAAACAAAAACCCAGGATAGCCAAGACAACCCTGCTCAAAAAAGCAACGTCTGGAGGCATCACCATCCCTGACTTCAAGCTCTATTATAGAGCTATATTCCTGAAAACAGCTTGGTATTGGCACAAAAATAGACAGGTGGACCAATGGAATAGAAATGAAAACCCTGAGATTAATCCACAAACCTATGAGCACCTTATTTTCGACAAAAAAGCTAAAATTATACAATGGAAAAAAGATAGCATCTTCAACAAATGGTGCTGGCATAACTAGATATTGGCATGTAGAAGACTACAGATAGATCCACGCCTATTGCCATGCAGAAAACTTAAGTCTAAATGGATCAAATACCTCAACACAAATCCAGCCACACTGGACCTATGAAAATCACTACAAAGGTTTGTTATTAACCTAATGACACATACACAATATTAACAGCCTACAGAAATCTTGAGTATATATAAAACAATGACTACGTCCTATAACATAAATACTTCCTCATTTTTGTTCATTGTTGCTTTATTCACAACTACCAGGGAATGAAGCCAGCCTAGATGATGTTCATTAACTAATAATTAAAATAGAAATGTCTTTTTTTCTGGAGTTGAAATTTTTATTTAAATTAGAAACAAGCTTGTTTTACATGCCAATCCCAGTTCCCCCTCCCTCCCTTCCTCCCCTGCTCCCCACCCCATTCCCTTTCTGATCCACAGGGAGGATGAGGCCTTCCATGGGGAATCTTCAAAGTCTGTCATATCACTTGAAGCAGGACGTCCCCACTGTGTCTAGACTGAGAGACTCTATGTGGAATGGGATCCCAAACTCCATTCATATATTAGGGATAAATACTGATCTAGTACCAGAGGCCCCATAAATTAACCAGACCTCCAAACTGGCCCAGACTCCCTGAATGTGGTTGTCAGTTAGGCAGCCTGGGGGCAATCTATGGGACCTCTGGTAGTGTATCAGTATTTATTCCTAGTATACAAATGGAGTTGGGATCACATTCCAAATAGAGGGATATTTTCTCAGCCTAGACACAGTGGGGAGGTCCTAAGCCCTGCTTCAAGAGATATGACAGACTTTTAAAGAACCCCGATGGATGACCTCACCTTCCTGAGTAACAGAAATGGAGTGAGATAGGGGGTTGGTGGGGAGCAAGGGAGGAAAGTGGAGAGAGGGAAACTGGGACTGACCTGTAAAACAAGCTTCTTTCTAATGTAAATAAAAAAGAAAAATTTTAGAATGATATACATGCATTTTTTACAATATTCTTTCAAGAAGTAAAATTTATGACCTTGAGGTGTTAAGTTCAAAACATGAATAAACTATATGTTGGCATTATAGCTTACTCTGAGTCGAATTAAACTTGTTTGTAAAGCATTTATGCAAATGTTTGTAATTAATTGCTCATGTCAGATGGCATATATTTGTATAAAATGAGATCCTGTTTATATTTTTTTGAAAATAGAAAAACAAAGATTTTATAGTAAAGTCAATTTAATCATTTTCAGAAAGACTTCACATTTATATTTTGCTTTTACCACTTGTTAAAGTTTTCTTGCCAGGTACATTTGCAATTTCTTTGTAGAATAAGGAATTGCTTTCCACAGATTCATGAAAGAAATTAAACTATATACCATTTCAAATATAAAGAAAATAAGAAGTATATAATTTACCCTTATGTTTGTTTTTAACACTAACACAGACACTGAGTTATAACTCTTCTTGATTTCAGGGGGTCTCTCTTTACAGAATAAAATAGTTTAAATTTCTAGGCAAATGCAAAATATTTTTAACCTATCAATGCTTGCATTTTGCCTGAAATTAAAAAAAATAATTCTTTGAATGAATCATAGAGAAAAAACTAGTCTTTTTTCCTAAGATATAATGTTATATTCCTTAAGGCCCAAATGTATTCATTATGGACTGAGACTCTCATACTCTGAAAAGAGAATGCATCATTTACTTATACCAAAGTTTAAGGGCAGTGCTGCACACAATTCCAATTGCTTGAAAAATTTAGGATTAAGATTACAAAATCCGAGTGTATTAGTGATGGTAGGAAGCACAAATATCTTTCAAGGTGGTACTGATTATGTGCCAACAGAATCTTTGAATATCTTTCCTCTGCCCCATTGTGCAGTGCGTGCCTTATGGAGAAGAGCCGGGATATTATAGTGCCATGTCTGAGATCCAAGATTTCCCAATTGACCTTGTCTTTCATTTATTCATTCATTCTTTCTTTCTTCCTTCCTTTCCTTTATTTTCCTTTCCTTTCTTCCTTCCTCCTTCCCTCCCTCGCTCCCCCCACTCTCTCTCTCTCTCTCTCTCTCTCTTTTTTTTTTTTTTAGTTTTGGTTTTGGGTGTTTTGGAAAAGGATTTTTCCATGTAGCTGTCCTGAAACTCAAGATGTAGACCAGGCTGACATTGAACTCCCAGAGATCTGCCTGCCTCTGCCACCCAAGTGCTGGGATTAAAGGTGTAAAAGGCATGTTCCACAACTGCCCAGGTGCAACTTTGGTTTTCTATATTTAAGGAATATAACTTATGTTTGTGGTAATGAATCCTTTACTCATTCTCTAGGAAAAGTGATGCATCATGTTCATAGAGTCTGGCCAGATGTTTCCTGGTTACAAACAATAATAAGCAGAAAATCTTTTGACTTACCTCCTCACAGGTACTTCTGAAATCCATGTGCTGTGGCACTATGAAGTTGTGGTCTATAAAGACAGAAAGAGTGATTCATTACATGGAGCATAGATCTCAACACAGAACATAGCAGTAGCAACCAAAATACCGCTGGGGAAAATTACCAGCTATAAGCAACGAAACATTAGGGAAAAGAAGACATTAAATGCTCATCTCAACCTTGGTTAGTTATGAAAACTTCCAGTCATCTAGTGTAATGGAGAATATCCCAATCCTTTCCACTTGCCTTCTTACAGGATGCATGGCTGTGTTACTAAACTCTTGCCTCGGGTTCTTCCTCAATTGTACCACTTGTTTTGAAACCTCAGTTTTTGAGAGGGAGAAGTTCAAAAAGTGTAATTAAATATTTTCTTTCATCTTCTTATCTTTGGAATGGAAGCTGATCAATCTTACTCTTTGTAATTTAAATGCTGCATGCATGAATAATTCTCTCTGAAACTTAAATTTTATTCAGAAAACTTGCTGCACAATAAAGCAAGTTAATCATCAGTTTGCATAAGATAATTAGAAATAAACATATTCAACAAACTTTAACCTAGAGGTGACTATATAACTAAGTGATGAAGACATATTTAAATGCATATAATGTTTTAAAACTTTTATTTTAGCATTCAGTTTACAATATATATTAAACTTCAGGAAGCCAAGCATTGCCCCAAAAACCATCTCTATACTATAAAACAAAACAGTGTCCAGCTAAGTTTAATGGTTGCACAAACAAAACTTCAGAGAAAAATGTGTAGTCTTTGAAATAAAACACTCTCTCCTACACACAACTTACTACCTTTGAAAAAGTAAGGCTCTTCTTCCTGTGTCATAGTTTCTTGTATGGAGATCAAGGAATGCTTAATTAAGTAAGTGCAGAAAAGCTGGATGGGAAGAGCCTTCACTGTCAGTGATTGTCCGGCTCCCACACAAGCAAAACTAGCCATTTCCAGAAGAAAAAAAGCTATTTATTTTACATAACATATAATATATGCAAAATATTTTTGTGGGTTGGATTGTCAACCTAATTTTATTTTACTAAAATACACATGATGACTGGTTGCCATATACTTAAACAACAAAAAATCATTAGCCATTAAAAAACAGCCTTATGATAAAAAAGCTTTCCTTTCTGGAAAAGAAAACTTGCATGGCTTATAAAAACAGAAGGAGAAGCATATAGACCCGAGTTCAACTCATTACACACGTATAAGAAAAAGGAGAAGAAAACAGTATTTCTATCCAACAATGGGAACATGGAGGCAGGGAAAATAGATCCCTGGGCTGCACTAGCAAGCTAAGCCAAATCAATTAGCTCTAAATTCAGATTGCGAGCTTGTCTCAAGAAATAAGCTAGAGAGTAATTGAGAAAGTAACTTGGTACTGACCTCTAGCCAACATACACACATATATAGAAGTGAAACTGTACAAACATATGTATGAATACTCATAATTAATAAATAAAAACTTTTATCTTAGCATTCTGTTTACAATATACATTAAACTTCAGGAAGCCAAGCATATCCTTCCCCTCTGGCTCATATAATCTCTCCACTTCCTCCTCTGTGGAGTTTCCCGAACTCTAGGGTTAAGGATTTAATGGAGACATCAGATTTATGGCTGAGTTTTCCAGTGTCTTTCAGTCTCTGGATACTGTCTGGCTATAGGTCTCTATATTTCTACCCATCAGCTGCAGAAGGTAATTTCTCTGATCATAGGAGAACAAAGCACTAATCTGTGAGTATAGCAGTCATTTAATCACTACCATTTTTTAGACAAATATTATTAGGTATTGCCCTAGGTCTCTGGGCTATCTAGTCTCTGGTTTTTGATTGCCCAAGCAATGTTGAACATGGCTTCCATCTCATGGAGTGGGCCTTGGGTATAATCAGTTATTGGTAAATTACTCCCACAAATTCTATGACACAATAAACCTAGCATATCTTTCAGTAAAGACACAATTGTAGATGAAGATTTTGAGAATGGCTTGCTGTTTACATTTCTCTATTAGTAGTGTGTACAGTACCAAAGATGCTGAAACACAGGGGTGAAGAATCTATATAGGCACCAACTTGATTTATCCATGTTCAATGCAAGTGTTCTATTCAGCAATGGAGCCTTGTAAGTTTCTGGAGAAAAACTATATTATTAGCAATAGCCCAGGTTGATTGAGAATTCCCATGGGGCCCTTTAGGCATTTTCTCAATTAGTCCTGGTACAAGAGATGACCAATTGGAACTGCGTTTACCCCATTATTTGGCAAATATATACATACATACACACATAGTGTTAAATTCCTATACTACCCAACAAAGGGATACTAATTTAGCTCTCTCTCTCTCTCTCTCTCTCTCTCTCTCTCTCTCTCTCTGTGTTTTTTTTGCAAAACATGCCCTAAACTCACATTTTATCCTCCTATTCCAGCTTCTCATTCCACTCATATCTGTTATTTTTATTTCCCTTTCTGAATGTAATATATCTGAAAATCTTAGTCCCTTACTCTATACCTGTCCTCTGTGGTTCTATGGATTACCACTTGGTTGTCATTGATAGCAAATGCATACCTGTATTTATCTTTGGGTTTGTGATTCCTCACTCCAAATGTTTTTTCCTTGTTCCATTGATCTGCCTGAAAATTTAATATCATTTTTAATGCCCAAATAATATTCTACTGTCTAAGTGTACCAGATTTTCTTTATCCACTCTTCAGTTAAGGGACATCTATATTGTCAACAAAATCTTGTTATTGTGAATAGAACAGAAATGAACATATTTGAGCAAGTATCTCTGAGATAGGATGAAACATCCTTTGTGTGTATGCTTAACAGTACTATATCAGGATACTGAGGCAGATCAAGTCAGTTCTTTCTGAGGAAGTACCACACTGGTTTCCATAGTGGCTGTAGGTGTTTGTACTCCCACTAACAACGTAAGATGGTTCCTCTTATTCCACATCCTACTCAGCATGAACTGTTATTTGTTCGTTTGATCTTTAACATTCTCATGGGTATAAGATCAATAACCCAAGTAAATTTCATATGCAGGTTTCTGATAACATGGATGTTTGAACATACCTTTAAGTATGTCTTAGCTATTTGAGGTTCTTCCTTTGATAGCTGTGTTTAGAGCTGTGCTCCACATATAATCTGGGTTATTTGTTTACATGTTATCTAGTTTCTTGAGTTCTTTATATATTTCAGATATTAGTCCTCTATGGGATGTGGAATTGCTAAAAATATTTTCTAATTCTGTAGGCTACTACTTTTTCTTAATGATAGTACAGTTTGCCTTACAGAAGCTTTTCAATTTCATGAGGTGTCATTAATTAATAGTTGATCTTACTGCTTAAGCTTACAGTGATCTCTTCAATTCTGTTCCTGTCTTTCTCTTTCATCATGTTTAATGTATCAGGTTTTATGTTGATTTCCATTTCCATTGCACAGGCTGAAAAATGTGGATATCTTTGCATTCTTCTAAATGTATACATGCAGCTTGAGAGCCACCATTTGTTCATGGTTTTTTCCTTTTTTCAGTGTCTATTCCTGACTTCTTTATCAAAAAGCAGATGTTCATATGTGTCTGGACTGATGTCTGGGTCTTCAATTCAATTCCACATGCCTGTTTTTGTTCCTGTACTGTGGTGCTTTTCTTACTATAACTTTGTAGTACAACTTTAAAAATGGGTTAGGAATAACTCCAAAACTTTTTCTCTCATTTGTGATTGTTTTACCTGTCCTGGGTTTTTTCATGGATCAATGTGAAGCTGAGAATTGTCACTTCAAGATTTGTGAAGAACTCTATTGTGATTTTTTTATGCTTATTGCTTTTAAGCTGTATATACACTTTAGTAGGATATCCATGTTTTCTATGATACTGCCACTGATATGGAGAGTGGGATGTTTCAAACTTCTGACATCTTCATTTTTTCTTCTGTCTCTTGAAGATTTTATCATATGTGTCTTTTTTTTGCTTGGTTAGATTTTCCCACAGACATTCTATATTGTTTGAGGCTATTATGAAATGTACTGTTTCCCTGATTTCTTCCTCAGACAGTTATTATTTATATATGGGAAGACTACTGGTTTTTGGAGGTTAGTTTTTCATCAGCTACTTTGAGGAAAGTTTCTATCAGCTGTAGAAGTTTCCCAGTGTAATTTTCAGGGTCATTTAATGTATACCATCATATCATTTTCAAATAAGGAAACTCTGATTTCTTAGTTTTCAGTTTGTATTTCTTTATCTCCTTCAGTTGTCTTATTGCCCTAGATAAGACTTCAATTATTATAGTGAATACATATGAAGAAAATGTACAACCCTGTCTTGATTTTAGTGAAATTTCTTTGAGATTCTCTCCATTTCAATTGATATTGTCTGTGGGATTGATATACACTGACTTTATTGTGTTTAGGTATATCCCGTGTATCCCTAATCTCTAGAGGACTTTTAACATGACAGTTTTGGATTTTTTCTAAAGCCTCCTCTGCATCTGATGAAATAATCATATGGATATTGTCTTTCAGATGTTTATACAGTGAATTTCATTTACTGACATATGTATCATGAACCTTCATCTTTGTATCTCTGGGATAAGGCTACTCAATTATGCTGATGATATTTTTGATGTGTTCTTACATTTGGTTTGCAAATATTCTTGAATATCTTTACATGTTCATAAAGGAAACTAGTCAGTAATTCTATTTGTTCATTGTATCTTTATGTGGTTTGGGTGTTAGAGTGACTAACTTCATAACATGAATTGGGCAAATGTTCCTTCTGTTTCTATATTGTGAAATCATTTCATAAGCATTGGTATAACTCTTCTTTGAATATCTGTTAGGACCAGACATCTGGTTCTGAGATTTTTTATTTTTCTTGGCAGATTTATAATTACAGCTTCTATTTCGCTACTGAATATAGATCTGTTTAAATTGCCTATCTAATGTTGATTTAAGTTTGGTAAGTAGAACACATCAGGAAGATTGTCCATTTCTCTTAGATATTCCTATTTGGTGGAGTACAGGTTTTT